AGATCTTCCGAACGCCAGGCCCTATCTGCTACACTGGTAGAGTGCTGTGTTTTGGATTCAGAATGAGAATAATGTTGATAACACACTGATGTTTTAGTTGTTGCTATTAGTGCTCACCCCAAGCCAAGGACTTTTCAGTTTCCCGTGCTCTGCCAGCCAGCAGGTGCACCAGGAGCTGGGGGGAAGCACAGCCAGGACAGCTGACCCAGACTGGCCAAAGGGATAATCCAAACCCCAGAGTGTCCTGCCCAGTAAATGAACTGGGAGAGTTGGCCAGGAGGGGCTGATCACTGCTCAGGCATGGAATGGGCATTGGGCAGTGGCTGGTGAGAAATCTTGTTGTGCAGCCCTTGTTTCTCCTGGGTGTTATCTCCCTCTTATTATCTTCCATTTCATTACTATTATTATTTTTATATGTTGCTTTATTTCAATTATGAAACTATTCTTTAAACTATTATTTTAACCACCCATGGGTTTTACCTTCTTCTGAGTCCCCTCCTCATTCTATTGCAGGGTGAGTGAGCAGCAGTGTGGTACTCAGTTGGTCTTTGTATGACAAAAAAATAAAAGTTGAAAAACCTATATGTTGTGTCCTGGGAGTTTGTCTGTAGTTGTGTGTTGTCTGGTGCTGCATTTTTGACTGTTCCAGCAATTCAGAAAGTGGTGTGCCAACATTTCTCTTCTGGCAGTGCACCACCATGCGCTCATTAAAATGGAAATAAAGATAGTTTCTGTGACTGTTGTGTTCTCAGCATGGCAGCTAATGTGAAGGCCTGGGGGACCAAGATTAGCTAGGACAGCTTGGAGGAAACAAGCAGTCAGACCAGAGGATGAGCAGCAGGAGAAAGCTGGCCTGCAGGAGAGCACCCTGCTGCAAGTGCCCTTGTTTGGGCTGAAGTGGTGGCTGCTGCTGCTCTGCTGCTCCTCAGCTCGCTGCTAGAAGTTACTTCCCCCTTAGTCTGCTAGATGAGCCTTTTGTAAGGTTATTTAACCCCCCTGCTCACAGTATAACAGCCTTTTATTAGCCCTAGCTCAAATCAAGGAGTGATCAGCCAGGCAGGTAAGTCAATAAAGCTGGAGGGGATTGATGGCAAACAGTTCCCAGTGCTCTGGGTGAAATAACCTCTCTAGCAGAACAGCAGAAGTGTTGGAGAAGTGATGGTTTAGTGTCCTACCACTGCTTAGTGGCAACTGACTGTGGATCTGTGTGAAAACTACATTATCAGTATTCTGAATGTATTGGTGTTTGCTTAATGATGGAAAACTGGTTGAAATATCTAGACAATTTAACAGTATGGAAGAACAATGCAACAGCAAAAAACATTTACTGTCTCCTTGAAAGGAAGAAAAAGGATAGGATAGGATAGGATAGGATAGGATAGGATAGGATAGGATAGGATAGGATAGGATAGGATAGGATAGGAGGATAAAGCATCTTTGAAAATAAACAAGTGATAGAAGAAATTATTTTTCTTTCTAAAAATACCCAAAATAACACCAAATATGCAGATAAGCCATGATCAGTTAACCTTTAGCATGATACTGGTGCATTTCTTGAGTCTTAGGGAAGTAGTTTAGTTTTTTGCATCTGATAAGCACAAAATGATAACTAAGTCTATTCCTGCATATTTCATTATTGATCTTAACCCGAAGCCTGTAAAAATCAATAATAAATCTTTCTATTTTATAAGGGAACTCTGTGTCAAGTGTAGTGTCAAGGGAGAAGAAGCAATTTTTCTGGATGAATTAAAACTGTATTGAAAATGAAGATTACATTAGGGAAAAACTACTTATAATTGAATTGCTAATTTGTTTTTATCCAGTTGTACTAAGATCAGAGGAAAATTTTATAAACTCTTCCTTTCCTTTTTTTCCCCTAATTCTTCTTATTTTGTGATTTTCAGAAATCCTGCCAGAAACCTGTGGATAAATATATTGAGTATGATCCTGTTATCATCTTGATTAATGCTGTTTTATGCAAAGCACAAGCATACAGGCACATCCTTTTCAACACAAAGATAAATGTAAGTTGCTATGTCCCTACCTTGTGCTTTTTTTGTTAAAAATGTATTTAGGTTTGGTAGCGTCTGTTGTATTAGTTATAAAACTTTAAAGACTATTCATCTCCTGCCCCTCCACAGATTTCAGCAAGCTGAACCAGTTATATGATGAATAGAACACATGGAATCTCAAACTCCCACTGTTACTAAGACAGCTTCTGTCTTCACAGCAGTGATGCTGCAGTACCAGCAAATACAAAGTCATCTTACATGTTAAAGAGAAGGAGCTGCAAAGAACTTTCATGCAGTTTCCTACCTAACGTCTAACCTGCCTATCATGTTAATTGATGCTAAAAGAATGATGTGCTAAATTCCACTGTAAGAGAAAGACCTAATTGCAGATTAATTTTCAAATTGAATTTCTGTTGGAAACAATTCTTTTTCAAATGAGCAATAGGAGTATAAGATACCAAATTAACAATACTGTGCCAGTTAAACCTACTGTACTAATTTCTCACAAGTTTCTCACTGTGTAATTGACCATGTCCTCAAAACCAGAGCAAAAGTTGGTGGCTTTCACTTGAATTGTGGTTGATGCAGAATTATGTCGTTAGGCTGGCCAGGTCTGGAGGTGCAGTGTTTTAGTATTACATGTTTTACTGTAAGGACTGATTTCCCAGGAGAGGGAAGCTAATCTAGAGCAAAATCTCTAAGCATAAGTATGTGCTGTGTTCATGTTGGTATCTCTTAGCCAGTGTAGATAAATACACTCGCTTCATCTTTCAAGCATAAATCTATCTAAATATTTTTAATTAATTCGGTGCTTCTGGACACTTGTAATGACGTTTTCTGTGAGGCTTCTGGAAGGACTATCTGTGAAAAGTTAATCTATTAAAATAATTTGAGTTGAATTTTTAACTGGCAAAGCCTATACATCTATGTGCAGTTGGCGTAACTTTTTCCTCCAATAGAAGAAGTAAAATCTAGCACAGAAATTGTTATGACTTGTTTAAATCTTGTTTAAAACCAGAAATCACCTCATATATGCACTGGCTTACAGACTGTATAATGTGGAAACATGCTAACTGTTGGCCCTCACAACATAATTTTTGATGTCACTTCAGAAGATATTTTAAATAGCTTTGTTTGGTTATACAGCTTCCTTTATTTTTGGTGTCTCACTCTTATAGGAGGTAAGAAATATTTTGGTATAACTACACTACTAGTTTCTTCTAATGGATATTGTACCAGGGAAAAAGAGAAACAAGGCTACTTAAAGGAGTTTGCTGAATGGAGTAGCTGCCCTTAAACAGAAGTTTTAGATAGTATAATTCTATGCTAGCAATGGTACAATTTTGGTTTTTCATTCCTAGCTGAATAGCCTTCCCAATCAGGCCTTAACCACAGTTATATACCTTCTTCTGTACAGAACTGTTAATGCAGTTTTGTGCATGTTCTAATTTGACTATCATGTTAGCAGATGTTAAAAGGATGATGTGATAAATTAGTGGCTCAGCAGAAGTAATTTTGCTTATATGCTAAAGAAAATTAATACACCTGCAGAGTTTGTGTGGAGGTGTTTAAATGTTTTTTAAATGCTGATTTCTTACTAATGCTTTAATTTATGCTGATTTAATAGTACTCCTTTTATTATTCTTTCATTTACCAGATTCATGGGAAGCTCTGTGTATTTTGTTTGCTCTGTGAAGCTTATATCAGGTGGTTGCAACTACAGGATTCAAGCCAAAATACAGATCCTGATGACTTAATCAGATATGCCAAGGAATGGGATTTTTATAGAATGTTTGGCATAGCTTCTTTAGGTAAGATTGGTGATTTGTATTATATACTCCTTAAGCATTGAAGAACTTCAAGCCCATACTGCAAAAATTGATAGAGAATGGATGTGATGTCCAACCCAGTATGGTTAAACAATTAAACACATACTCTCTAATTTGCCTGCATTTAATGGAAATACCTGTCCTGATTACAGTTCAGACTGATATGATCAGCATTAGATATGAAGAGACTGAAAAGTGGCAATATTCAGAAATCTTTGCCTGATATCTTTTCACATAGTTTGAAGATCAGTGTAAAGCTCAGCCTTATTCCATGTTTCATGTTGACTTCAAGGTTTATTATTCATTAAGGTGATACAACCTTACTAAAGTAAAAAATTGGGAAAAGTTGTATCTGTTTGGGGTTGGTTTTTTAAACAAATACACTAAAATACAGAGCAGTGTATTCTAAGACCAGTGTATTCTAAGACTGTACTTGAAGGCAGGGAAGCAGTTTTGTTCTATGCTGGTTAAAACATTTTTTCCCATACTTTTTCAGATGATAGTTTAAGTCAAACTTGCACACTAAAACTAGTATTTTTCTTACACATTCAGAACTTAATTTAAATCCTTTATTGTCTAATGTTGTTTTAAGTAGATTTTTATAATATGTCAGTAAAAATATTGAACTGATTTTTCAGTAGTGACTCATCTATTACAATTATTGCGGGAGTTTCTTTGACATCTGCATTAATGCAAGCATATCACAGGAGTGGTGTCAAAAAAAGTCTGGTAGCTCAAAGGTATTTTCACCTTGGTGTTCTTTCTCATGCTGGATGAAAAAGGTTCATTGCTGGTGACCTTTAGCAAAGAAGGATTGATTTTGGTTTTTTTTGTTTTACAGCCTAACAGACAGTTGAAAAAAACCCCTCTCGTTGCTAAAAAGTGAAAGTGAAGAGATTCTTGTGCTTAACTTTGTGCCCTATATGAGTCAGAAATCACAAATATGATAATCCTACAGATAGAATCCTGTGATAGAATTATTCTGAATGTCATGATACTGAATTGGTTTAAATATTAAAATGAACACAGGAGATAGAGAGCATTTGTATTTGCCTGTGACTTTTTAAAAAGTGACTCCATTGCATTTGGGACATGTCATTTTACTGAAATTCATTCAGATCTGGAATTGATTTTTGGCACTATGTTCTCTCTTTCCAACGCCTCTTATTTCCTTTCAGAACAAACTTCATTTTTCATTGGTATTTTCATTACCTTGTGGTGGATGACACCTGAGATGCTGAAAACAAAGTCTGACTTCATCTTACTTCTCAAAGCACTGCTGTTGTCCACCTATGGAAAGCTCCTGCTAATTCCAGCTGTTATTTGGGAGCACGACTACACACCTTTGTGCCTTGCATTTATAAAAGTGTTTGTCTTGATATCAAACTCTCAGGCAATTAGAGGTACATTTTTGCATTTATTATACTGCATTATGTGTACAGAATATGTGTGAGAGACTGCTGATGTTACAGAAGTCACTATTATTGTTATCATTTTAATCTATATCAGATACGTGACTGAAATAGCTCTGGTTTAAAACCATGTTCCTTAAACTTTAATAGAAAGTGATTGAAACAAAAAAAAATTTAAAAGGAAGGAAAAAAGTACCTCTTATCTAACCATCATCTCTTTGTATATATAGTATTATATCCACCAGATCCATCTGTTGCAATTTGAGGCAACTCATGGGTCATTGAAACAGAGAATAGAGTTTTTTTCAGTTTCTGAAAAATGAAAATTTCATATTAATTTGATTCATGTCTTTGGACTGCAGACTTTTAACAAATTTGTGTGATTTCTAATACACACAAATTAATATGAATTCTCATATGATTTCTGTGATCTTCTTAAATGATAGATGATAAATTTGTTCTGGTTTTTTTTTTGCAGTTACATTGAACTTGAACCGAATACTCCCTTGGTTTGCCATCTTCTTTGGAATAATTTTGGAAAATGGTGTGGTCTGCTTGTTCCAGAAAATGGGATGGGATGTTTGAAGTGTCAGCCCAGTGAAGAAATACCAACAACGTGATGATAATTTTCTCAGAATAATCTCTGCCAACAGGCTCCAAAAGCACTGTTTTCATAGGGATAAAAGAAGGTGATAGATAACAAAAAAGCATTAGAAGTTTGGCTATTTCCTGTGCTGAGCCATAAAACTTCAGCCTTAGGTTGTTTATTTTCCCAATAAAAGTATGAATGTCTTACTATCCTAACAGTTTTATAAATCTGGCTGCATAGCTGTGGCTCTAAGAAGAAAGGTACACTAAAAAACCCAGCCCTGCTATCAATCAGTGCATTTTGGCAGAGAGAAGAGGATGAATTGTTCCCTTAAGAGGAAGAGAGTCAGTGGAAAAATGTAAAAGCCAAAAGTTATATTTCCGTAAAACCAGATTTTCAAAGAGAAAAGTGAACATTTGCAAATAGTTTATTAGAGAAAAGGCAAGTATTCCAGAGTGAAACTACAGTGGGAAAGCCAAGCTGCATTCTCTGGAATGTTTGTGTTAACAATCCAAAAGAATAAAATATCTAGTTCTAGAGTAATCTCTAGGAATGATAGTTTTAAACTGGCTTGACATTTTAGGTAATCTCATAAATACTTGAAATTTTGTGTGATCTCATAAATGCTGCTTTCTTCTGAAAGCTGAAGAGAGAGTGAAAGGACTGACCCCCAAGATGCAGGGCTGTTCAGGATACTGCTTCTTCTGAATTTTAGTCACATCCCCCACACCCAGTCTTCAGCTGGCTGCACATTTATTAGAAGCAAAAATTGAAACATGAGGCCATTCAGCAGTAGAGCAGTAGTTTAAAAATAATAAAACAAACAAAAATGTTCAGGCCTAAATTAATGAAGAAACATTTATAGAAGTTCTGCACCTTCTTCCTCAGCAGGCAAAAGGAGAGCTAAGTGGCCCACAAAGGAACAGACAGAATCACTTTCAACAAGACAGTAAAAAGGGCACAAACCCACTTTTGTGCAGGCCAGTTTCTATTCATCCCATCCAATATTTAACTCTCCTGCTAGAGTTCTGGAAGGCTGTACTGTCCATAGGGATTACTTCCATTCTTTGTTTTCCTCAGATGCTGTCTCATGTCTGTGTTTTCCAGAATGAATCAAAAAGCTTTTTGCAACATCTTCAAGTTAATTCCCAACAGGTTTAGAGTAAGTCTAGATTATGACCACAAAAGACATCAAACATGTTTTTCTGATGGAACTGCCCATGCTATGCAAGTTATTTGATCAGAAAAGCAAATGGTTGCTGATTCTCTTTTATTAAATCAAAGGCTGACAGCACTTTTGTTGTTTGTGTTACACTTCGCAACTTCCTGAGCATGTCAGAGAACGCAAGAAACCCCAATTGCAACATTTTTAAATATGGGAGACTCTTAATTTGATTGGTAATGGATTCATTTCCCCAAGTTGAGTCTGTTTTGTCCATGACAGTAACTGGTGACTAAACTCTCCCCATCCTTATCTCAACCCATGAGCCCTTCCTTTTGTTTTCTCTCCAGTGCCTAGCTGGGGTGACAGAGCAGCTTTGGTGAGCATCTGACATCCAGACTGGCACTGGAAGTGCTTTCAGTCTAGAGGCTGAGTGGAGCCCATTTCAGTGGAACTAATGCAGGTTGTTATATGTAAACACAATGCTGTCAGCAGCAAAATTGTAAATACAATGTAAATAAATTTTATTTGAGAACAGTCTTCCTAAATTAAACTTGATTTTGATTTTTAAAAACTGATATCAGGTATTTTCTCAGTTTTTTTTCAGAACACCTAGAATGGACATGAACACATTCTGAAAGAAGCAGTGTTTACCTATTGTGCCACATACACTGATAATGTATCAGTTATGCACTCTGTAACGCTGCCAGGAGCCGCCACTGCCCTTACACAACTTTGAAGAGAGGACAATTAAAAGCTACAGCGGTGTGGAACAAAAGCAGGTGTGGTACAGGTTCTCAGTCTTCAGAGGCATCATTAGTAATGTAGGGCATTCAGCATTATTTGGTGTTAAAGTTACTCCTTTACTGAAATAAACATGACAAATACACTAATATTTCATAAATCTACGGGGAGCTTAAGGACACCCACTGGGGGAGGGGAGGGAGATGAGTGCATTTTTTATGCTTTTGAAAGTATATAGTGCTTCAGAGAGAACCAAAACTCTTTTAAGTTTCTGCCTGTTTAAAACTGTCACATCTCTTGCTTTTACTCCTTTTTGTCAGCTTTTTGTAATGAAACAGTTACCTATGCTGGAATATGGATGGCAAATAGCCCTTTCTATGTATCATAATCTGTTTCATTAAGTTATATGAGAGGATTTATTTGAGTTAAAAAAACAGCAGCCTGGAAGTGAACCTATAGAAACTCTTTTGAGTTTTGCTTGGAATCAGAAGGGGTATTGTGGCCTATGGAGTAAATTCAGAACTGTATGAAATGCACAGAAAAACCAGGGCTGTTGCTGAGACTTGGATTGAGCAATGGCTCAGTGATTGCGCAGTGGGAGCTGGGAACTCCTGCAGGTCCACAGGCCATGTAGCAAGTATTTAGAAATTACCATATGCAAAATTGGAGAATGAGAGTAAAAGCTAAGGAGGGTTAAAAGAGAAGGTAGGAGTTTGGCAGACTTCTACAAAATTAAGATGGCAGTAAAAACTAAGGAGATAGCATCTCAAGAAAAACATGTAAGGAAATACTCAGTATAGATGTTTATGAGTATCATGAAGCAAATATAAAAACATCCTACTACCAAGTTTACAAATTATGAACATGAAAGAAGAGTAGTATTAATTGCAAACATTTTTGTAATAGTCTAAGTGACAACATGACATAGCAAAAGATGTTTTCCAAGCAGTAAAGTCTGTGGGTTTCCCTAGAAAAGATCCCAGTAACCTCGTTATTTCAATGGTTTGCACTACAGCCTTGAAAATACACTTTTATAAGGCAGAATTAGCAATTGTACAGTGATAGAACTAGTCAGTGAACAGGAAGAGCTGTGCAACAGCAGAGCTTCTCCCTCCATTCTGCATTACTGTGCTGCATTAGGCTTTGCTGGTGCAAGGGCTACCACCCTTGTGCCCTCCTGCACATACAGACAAGGGAGCCCTTTCTTCCACACAAGCCCTATCTCAGAGGCATATAAGCTGCCATTTGTTACCCCAGTCTTCACCAAACTGAAAGTAAAGCAGGACATCTGTACTGGAAAACTATGAGCTGATTTCTCATAAAACAAGCAGGCCCTTGTTTCTTAGGGACTTGCCTGCTTTTGCATTCCTTGGGCACTCCCCAGCTGAGTAGTGTTGAACACTGCAGTGCCAATCTGGAGTTGATGAGGAAACACTGTTGATTTCAAAACTGGAAGGAACATACAGACACTCTTACATATGTGTTCTTTGATTAATTTTTGTTTTTTAAAATCACAAATCCAAGCTTTTAAAAATGAACATCCATCTTCAGTTTGGAGAAATGTGAGAATGAAATTAGTGATGGAAAACAGATCACAAAATATTTGTTTTGGTGACTTGGTATCAAGGTCAATTCAAGATACAACCAAGAAAGCTCTAAAATTCAAATTGTTTCAGGATGACCTCTTTTAAAAATCTAAGTAGTCCCACAAGCTGGGATTATTCTGTTGAGCTCTGCAAAAATTCATGTGGCAAGAGAGAGAATGAATACATTCCTCCACTGCTAAAAATCATTAGGATTTTTGTTTATGAATTGTTTATAAATTAATTGAAATTCAGGTTTCTGCAGTTAAAATTTGCAAGAAGGTGCATATAACAAGATTCCCATTTTCTCTCCTGCCTTTTAGCTGTTCTGACCTTCTTAGTCTTTCCAGCAATGCTTACAATATTACTGAGGTGGCAAGAAAGAAGATATGAACATAAGGAGCTTCACAAAATCTTGATCTGCTGTCCTAAATTTGTAAAGCTTTTTTTGAGCTCTGTAGACAAATGACTGGTCTGCAAAGCAACTAGGAATACTGCTAATGATGTTTTAATTGCTTTTCATTAGAATAATAGCTGTTGTTTGGGTTTGTTTGGGTTTTTTCCCCTGGGTAAAAATGTGGTTTAAATTCCTTTACATAGGAGCATAAGAGTGTGAACTTAAGAGATTTTACATGTGCTGGCTGCTGCTGAAATAAATCTAGGTGATCCCCTTGATTTCTTCCAATCTCTGACTATAATTCTGAGGACATTTTGAGGCAGAAGCACTGTTTTGCTGCACAGAAGTGCGTGCCATGGCTCTCTGAGCACAGGACTGGGGACCTGAATTAAGACCTGAATCCTAATCCTGGCTCTAAGACAGAGCAGCGCTGTGACCTTGAGCAAGTCATATATGTGGCTCCATAAAATGATTGTATCTCCACCATCACAGGATTTGGGGGAGGATTAATTTGTTCATGTCTGCTTAGAAAGATGAAAAGCATTAAGTCCTTTCAGCTGCAGGTTGTTAGGAGTCAGTCAACACTGTGAATGTCAGATATGAAACAGACATGCCAGGAGCCAGAGAATGTGAATATTAAAGGTGACGTGTTTAAAGTCTTTGTTATACTAAGGGAAGCTTTAATTCTGACCCTCGCTGGCATGCAGTTCTGGAACATAAACATCTGAAGACTTAGGAGTATATACAGCAAATCACTGATCCCTTACTATTATTTTGAAGTTATTGCAGCTGTTGTGTGCCAAAATAAATCTGAAATTAGTTAAAAAACGAGCAAAGGGAGCTTGCTCATTAGCTGATCTTACTTTCAGTATCTAAAAGAAAAAATAAGGTACTTTATTTGACAGTTTGAGACTTTGTGGTAGAAAGCACAGGTACATTTTGCAGAAAAATATTTCTTAAAAAATACTACAAACCATTGGTATCTTTTCAGTAAACAAATTCAGTAACATTGCACAGATTTAAACAAGACCTCAACAACATATAAGCACTTCTACTCACCTTGCACTCCTTCCTCAGAACTGCTTATCCACTCTGTAAGCATCTCTGGGTGTTGCCTTTATAGTGATTCCGTGCCAGGCAAGCTGCAGCCCATCTGATACTGTCATACATGCATCACTCCTTAACTTTGATCCTTTCTTTGGTCTCTCACTTCTCTTCCAGAATAAAGCTTTGGTTCTAACCATCAAAGCCACACATGTATCATGTCTTGGCTACAGTAGAAATAGTCTCTCTTTCTCTCAGTAGGGCTACAGCGTTCTTTTGATCACTGAAAATCAAAAGCCAACAGAAGTGTAATAATAACTAGGAAGAAAACATTTCCCATTGAGAACATCCACTGGATAATAACATGCCACATACCAGCATCAGAAAAAATGTCTTGGATTTTGCAGGATAGGGACCAAAAGAGAATGTATTACATTGAGCATACACCTTATAAATTTGTCCAAAGCAGGAATCTGTTTCCATCTAAGGACATTTATCCTACTTAGCAGTATGAAAATGGCAGATGGGTTGCATGGCAAGGAAAGCACAACCCATCTCTTACTCATTTTGTCCTTGGAGGGAGCAAAATGAAAATAAAACACTGATGATTCATGAAGAATTTTTTCAGGAATGATGGACATAATTTGAAGCCTTTTCTTTAGAGAAGCAAATTAACTTTGCTGTGGACAGACACAATGGCAGGTATTAATTTCTTTTCACAACCACATGACAAGACTTAATTTGTACTAGAACTGTCATCTTTTCAAATGTATTTTGCACTTCTCTAAGTGGATTTTTCCCTAAAATAGTTTTCTGCTCAACTGCATTGTGCAATTTATGTAAACGGTGTGTATGTGTGTGTAGATGGAAGGAGAGGGAAGGTCAAACCAGTTCCTACAGCCTGTGTATTTTCTGCCTTATCTATGTATGAAATGGTGCAGCTTCTGTCTGTTTAAAGGTCCTACATTGAAAGAAAATGCCAACAGCAAGAAAGGCACCTTCCTCCCACAATAGTTTGAGTATTGTGCAACATAACAGATTGTATCAGTTTTTAAAAAAAGTCATGTCCCTGACAAAACAGTATCAGAAGCATGTAGAGACCATGTCTCCCTTCTCTCATTGTTACTCAGCTATTTTATGTAACAAAATGCCAGCATGGTGATTCTAATCTAATTCAGCTGCACAAGCACTTTGATTGAAAGTTCAGAGAGGTGTTTTTAATCCTCTCCAACACAACCTAATAGAGGATGGCAAAACAGGAAGCCCTCGTGTGCAGATCCTTCCTCCCCATAACGGCAGGGTGGAAGGTGCCATCTGTCATTTCATGCCATTATACTGGAAAGTGCTGTCTCCTCTAAACTCCTTGCAGCAGCTGCTCCTGAAGGCTCAGCTCTTTGTCCTGAGCAGGCAGCTGCCTCTGGTTCCCCCTTGGGAACAGTTTTGTTTTCACAGAATCAGACAGGGCTAGAAGTGATCTCAGAGGTCATTGGTCCTTCCGCCAGCCGCTGGGATGGATAGGCACTCCTGACAGATGTTCTCCCTGGCAGGCAGAGATTCTGCTCTCAGAGACCAAACCTGAGCTGCCTTTCCCAAATTGGGAGACCTGTCAGCTCCTACTGCATGCAGCAGCAGTCTGATGCCCAGTTGTTTTTCAACTATGACCATTTATTCAAGTAATATGATTTTGTGAAAATACAAGATTTTACTTGAGGAATCCATTGTGAAGATGGTGGCTTGGTCTTTTAGAAAGTTTCTGTCCTTCAATTTTATTCTCCAGGTTGCCTGCTTCCTATTCCCCTACCCCCTGCTT